GATGTTTTTGTTCCACAAACGCCAATATTCCTTTAATTAACCACCATGGCTTTATGTGGATCAAAAACAACAGGAAACAATTAATAATAAAAAAATAATCAGATCAGCCCAGTGAGATAGCTCTTTATTTGTATATCTCACATTATTCTTGGCTCAGTCTCCAGCTCAGATATATTTCTAAAAGTGGTAAATCTTCAAACTCTGCCACACAGATTGTTCCAGACATTAATGACACAGTAAACGTGCAGTCCTGCACTTTCTGACACTCTATATACCACAGTTGGTTCTTGAACAATCAGCTGCCATATGGAATGGCTGCTGGCAGTCGTGCTTCTGCCTGACAGGGTGGAGCAAGCGCAAGCTCATGCTGAGCATGTAGATGAGAAGCAGGCTCAAGAAGCCTCCTTGATACATGGCCTCAGGTAGGTCCTGAGGAACAGGGAGTAGCCAGAGATAACCTAGGCCATTTTTCTTTTGGCTACTATTGTATTTGTTACTGTTTAAAAAATGCAAGAGGCTGAATGCTCCTTCTGCTTACACTGGCCGAGAAGAGCAAAAGCTCAGGCTCTGGGAGATGGAGGATGGAAGAGGCGAGGAGGCATATGGCTCCAGTACATGTTTCTAATCTCTCCAGAGCCTATGGAAGGCATCACAGGCATCTTATTAAGGCAGGGCAGGAAGATGTTGATGGGTAAAAGGTTGTTCCTCTTCTAACCAGGTAGATTTCCAACAGGAAATCCACACAGAAGTTAATGCTTTTCCAAGCAGTTTTAACTCCCCTTCAATGCCGTTAGCCCCATCCCAGGAAGTAGAAATGCATGCAGGGGTTTGGGGTTTTTTGTACCTTTTGCTTTTTACACGCACAAACAAAACCTTATTATGAAAGAACCACACAGGCACACTGAGATCCTAATAACCATATTTACTAATTATATACAACGTGCAAGGCCTGGCTACATATATACATTGGCTTCTCAGGCAACGTTCGATGGCATCTGAAACATAGAAGACAGTGAGGGTCAAAGCTAATTAAAGGAATACTGCCCAATTCCTATACATTAAAGGAAGGCAGCATGATTCCCAGGGACCAGGAGTTGCCTTGGAAATGCCACAGGCTTGTACCCAGGGAATTGGCTCCCAGAACTACTATCCTTCCAGTTCATGGGGCTATAGCCTGTTTTCCTGCGGTGCTCTAGATTCTGCTGTATCACTAACCACAAATGAGTTCAGAAACCACTTCAGAGGTGAGAGAGAAGGGAATACCATGAAGTGAACTATGCAGCATTTCTAGCTAATGTTTCCTCCTCCCATGGGTTTTCCAATAAGAGGGAATGATTAGGAGCTAGTAATCAAAATAAGTTAAATTACCACAGTAAAATGGCCCCATCCAGCCCACTGTATTCTTCTGATTCTTCCTGGCAACCAGACCATTTGATTCCAATGTACAAAAAGCAAAGAGAAAGGCTAGGAGCCAGAAGGTCTTGCAAGGACCTAGCTCAGTCTAAAATGTATTTGGTAAAAATTAAAGGAAATGTTTAGAAAAGGTGCTAAGTTTTAGATATTAACATAGTTAATGTTCAAGTGTCTGTGCAGCAGGATAGGTTATAGTATATGAAGTCTGAGTAGGTTTTTTGTGGTTACCTGCAATTTAACTTTCAATTGTGTGCACGCGCATGGGCATTCTGCTGTAAATTCTACAACCATTTAGGTTTTTGTTTTATTCACAAGACAACACATTGTGGAATCTAAATTTGTAATAAGGTCCTCCCCTTGGAAATTTGGCATAGCTGACAGTAATAAATCATTCAGCCATTCACCTCATAAGTCCTCTGGAGCGTCATGTATCTTCAAATTGCAATGTGTGTACATAACACTGAAAATATAATGAAGCTATAACACAAACAAATCCCTGAGGAGATGCTCTACATGAAAATTTACAAAAGAAGTGCTAAGATAGTGCTAAAGGTAGCACTAAAATAGCCTTCAAGGAAAGGAATGTCACTTGATAACTTAAAAATAACCTCTAGTGAACGGCATTATTAGAGCAGGTGAGAAAGTTGCAGAATCATTTTGTTATAGTTTTTCATGTGTTATTTGCATACATCAAGAAAACTGTAAAACTGAGACAAACGAAACTCTTGACTATGCCCATATAACTGCCATTTCCTCAGATGGTGTTGCATGCATGCACCCAAAGTTAGAAAAATCTTTTAGACAAAAAAATCTAAGTTATGATAAAACAAGTCAGGCCAAGATCAAGTTTGAAATTTAGCTATGGGCCTGAACCTTCTGATGTTCAAATCTTATTCAGTGCAAAGTGAAGAGTTGTTATTCGAAATAAGATAGTGGCACAGAATACAGCTTAATTGCTTTCTGGAGCTGCCCCCAACAGTTATTATGCCTCCAAACTGAAGAAAGGACTAGGATGATTTCTCTGCCTGTCAAGAGTTGGCCATCTTCTCTGGATATTGATAAAACTGGGGTGTCAAGCTCATTTGGCAGCGAGAACCAAACTCCATTTTTGATTATGGTCCATGAGCGGGGGTATACATTTAAAACTACACACTACCTTCAGCAAGATAGCAATGGGAGGTTTACACAAAGATCCAGGGTAAAATATGGACTTTATGTTCTATATAAACTATTATTTGTTTGTTGAGTAACTTATTGTCACATTCAATTTCTCTGGGAAAATCTGCTTCCTTGTAGAACTGCTACAATTTTGTCCATTATTTCTCTTTCTTTCCCATCCTATTTTTCTGTTCTCTCCCTATTTCCACCTATCTGTGGGCTTAACTCCCACCTCCTCTCCCATTCCATTCACTAAAATGATCATCAATAAAGCAGTTCATGTTGACAATATAGCATTATCATTGGACTTTAAAGTTGACACTCCAGTGAGATTAATATAGACAGGGGAGTTAACAAATCTAAGTAATTGTTTCAGGCTGTCTACAGACTCAAAGACATTTCAGCACTAGTAACATTTGGAAGATTCCTTTTTATTTTTAATGACAAGTTAGATTCTACACAATCTGAATACATCAAATGGGCTGAATCTGGCTCACAAGCTGTATGTCCTAAAGCATTTTTTGCCCAGGATTTACATATCCATCAAGTTCATAAAAATACTCGAAAGTTCATTTTTTAAAAATGGAATGGAATCAATTGCACTGTCTTTCCCCCCAAAAAACATTTGCCTTGTGGGAGGAAAATACCTCCATGCCCACCATACTTGGTTCCAAATCCTGTTTCAAACTGGACAAGATGAATACTCTTCTACACTACCAATATACTTCCCAGGAAAAAAAAAGTAGTATGTATCACATAAATGTGTTTATCAAATGGTGCTACCTCTCTACTTATTTTATAGATATGATGGGAAAATGATATTATTTAAAAGGAAAAAGAAAATGATAGCTTTCCCAGTCCTTCACTCCTATCTACAGAGTACATTCCCTGAGATACAGGATTTATCAAAGTGTACACTTTTTGTTAGAGCCCTTTTTAAAAAATATTGACAGCACATCACTGATGATGAATGATCTGTTTCAGGAAGAGGGAGTACTCTGTGAAAAATACATTTTTAATGCCTTTTTCACCCGATCATCCTAAAAAGAATCTTTTCCCCAAAACTTTTCATGCATATGAGTGCAGGTGAATGAATAGGAGAGAATAAACACACTCCTTACTACGGATTGCATTTAAAAAAAAATTAGGTAACTATGTGAGCTTGGCCAGAAGAAAATTGTCCTTTTGGAAGGGAACGCCAGTTAGAGTAGGACTGAAATTGGATTCATTACTAAGCACTCATGAGTCACACAGTCAGAATGTTCAATGTGCTGAACATTCCCTTCCTTTAGAAGGCAAATCCCACCTCAGGGGATAAACAACTGGGTTTTTTTTGTTTGTTTGTTTTTTTGTTAAACCATTCAACTTTTATTTTTGGGTACAGAGGCAATCAGGAATGTGCCTTTAGCAAATTTTAAAAACGATTTAGAAAGTCATAAACCATGTTTGTAGGAACCCGAGGTATTTGCATACACACACACAATACCTAGCATGATGATACTATGAGTTAGCTTTCACATTCCTGACTTTCTTTTCTAAAAAATCTCACTGAAACTTGACTTTTACCATATTAAGGAGAAAAGCCTGTGATGAGAGTCAGATACAGTAAACCAAATGCCATGCTTGTCCTTTTAAACATCACTTACCACATTTGGATCATGTTTGTAATTACATTTCTGCAGCAGCATAATGTTAATTGAGATGTGCCATCTCCCATCTCTGGGGTGTTCATATTAACAACAGGATTCCTGCCAACCTCCCACAATGATGGCAGCATTTATAGACAAAATTACACACAATACAATCCAGTTGGAACTACCACGCAGCTGAATAATACAAGAAAAAAATAGCCTTAGTCTAATGACACAGTCTATTTCTGAATTATGAGACAAAGTTACTACCATGCTATTTCTCATAAACTCAGACATCAGAGATGATGGAGATCAGTTCTCCATCTAGTTCACAACTGCCCTTAGCAGCACCATTTACACACTGATCTCTCTAAAAGGAAGTTTTAATCTTTGGCTTGGAAAATAAACAGGAGTAGTTATGATATAGCCTATATCTGAACTGCACATCTCATAATACAGTAGGTTCTCTTCTCAAATATATGTTACATTATTTTTATAACCATCTCATCATAGCAGACTGATGTGAATATCTGCTCCTTGTTAAACTGTAATTATGACTGCAAACAGAGATGCTGGTGCTTGAGCTCCAGTGGTATAACTCTACATGGGGCATTTCATGACAAAAACTTCTGCCATGAATGCTGAAGCGAAAACACATATATATGCTAATATCAAAAGCAAACCTCGGCTTCCAGTACCTGTTCTGGAAAACCTGAACAACCTGACAGAAATTAGAGACAAACTGGTGCCTCTCCACAAGGTTCAAGTATAATAGATATGCACTGAAGCAGTACTTACAACTAGAGAATATCAACGGGCAAGAATGTTCATCCATTGGGAAATTATGTAGCTGCAGCTGGCATTCTGCATTGATGGTGAGTCTGTGGAAAAACCAGGTAATTGTCACTATAAATCAGCACAACAAAAAGTTAAAGGAACATGGTAGGGTAATCATTGGTAATTGTCCAAGACACAATTGGGAAATTTTGAAGCATTGCTACAGAATTAAATGCTAGGAAATGGGTGATATGTCTGCATGCATGGAAACAGAGCTTTATGCAGTGTTGTATGGGTTTTGCTTGGTATTTCATTGTAAACTTAATAGCCCGATCAGTGATAGTCTTTCTCCCATGTTAGGCGACCATTTTTAAACTAGTTACTATCTACACTTCTTATCAAAGAACTTTTAAAATACATGTAACAAAGATATGCCCAATTAACATAGGCCAGCACAAATGTTTGCAAAAATATCTACCACATTTTAAAATGATGTTTAAAAAGGTTTACTAACACAGGGCACACTACAAATAAGGCCAGTTCTTAAATTACCATTAAGACAGGGGGACTATGAAGTCAGTCTATATATTTGACTAGATCATATCATATATTAGTTTTATTTGAAAGCTATTTTCAAGTAATGGACACTATATTAATTTCACTGCTGAGTTTGTCCAGCAAATGACAAATTTTAGGAAAACTAATTAAAAGGTAAACAATCTAGATTTGAAAAGGTCTAGATGCCTTAAATTTGGGCTCACAGCCAGAGAAATGTCTGTCGTCTTTAAGCTCAGTTGTAAGTAAATTAGTTCTCTCTGCCCAGGAGTTTTGATTGTACAACAGGACAGGATTCCAAGGTTGCATGCCCGAAAGTGGCCAGAGAAGAGGAGGACCTGGCACAAACTTGTACCCTGATTCTTGAATTTAGAAATTTTGTCAACTCAAGGCTGTTCTTTCTGAGACATCCACAGTGAAGAAATTGGAGGTACTACAGCTGTCTCTTACCTACAGTTCTGTAGAGTCAATAGTCTGCAACAATAAAGACTGCCTACTTGTTGCTGAGTTTTCTGTCCTAGCTTGTGAACATTCAGGTTTATAGAGTTCTTCATACACAGAGGAAAGGTTGAGTGGTAAAACTGGAAAGAGAACTCCTTGCATACATGTAAAATGCTCAGTTAAGCAAAGGAGGGCTGTAACTGGGTCAGCTGGGTACTAATCACCCCGTGACGTGGCTCGGCAGCATCCTCCCATCAGGCTTCCCTCTCTTCAGGGCTCCCAGTTAAACTCCACAGGCCATTCTGGCAGGGATTTCTTTATTTTCCAAAAACAGTGAATCAAAATTACAATAAAATTAGGGAATTACCCTGCCTGCCTTCATCTCTGCCCTCCGGGGTATCTTTTCCTGTCTCTGGCAATCCTCCTTCTCTGCAGTTCCTGCTATTCTGTCATCTCCCCTAGCTGGAGCTTAGCCTTCTGGCTCTGGCTTCTAGGCCCTAAACCCTCTCTCAATCAGGTTCTCCTACAGGAGCCTTCTGCTTACTGCAGCTCTTCTCTGCCATAGATTCCTCTTCCTGTCCTCTGCTCTCATCTTTATAGACAACAGCTGCCCTCTATCAGGCCCCATTGAAAGGCAGTTAATGAGACTCAGGTGGACTGGACCAGTTCCCTCTTAAAGAGCCCAGTCTACCCTTTGACACGGGCCAAATGTTTTTCTGATTAACAGCGTATAGTAAGATATTTTTGCAGTCCATGGGACAGATGGTGGTGTTCTCAGAGACACCTATAAAACTCCATTACTTCAGTGAGGTTTCACAGGCGTAAGTAACAGCGCACAATTTGGCACAAAATATGGCACCAAAAATTGGTAGATAAAAGGGGGTGCATACAAAACTAACCAAATGAGCATCTTCTCACATTCATCAAGGTCCTGTTTGAAAGCCCACTGAAGTGACTGAGAGACTTTCCATGTACTTCAGTGGGCTTTGGATAAAGCCTCAAAAAAGGAGGATACTGAAAGAATATGTAGGATACAGCTACACAGCAATTAAACACCTGCAGCTGGCCTGGGTCAGCTGACTTGAACTTGTGGGGCTCAAGCTGTAAAATTGCTGTGTGAACATTCGGGCTTGGGCTAGACCCTGGCCTCTGAGATACCATGAGGGGGGAGGGTCCCAGAGCCTGGGCTCTAGCCCGAGCCCGAACATCTATATAGCAATTTTTAGCTCCGCAGCCAGATCCCAAGTAAAGCTGACCAAGGCCAGCCACAGCAGTACCACCAGTCTTTTATTCTAGTGTAGACATACCCCCAGTGGTAGTTTCCAGCTGTTGTATTCCTTTCTTGTTTGACAGTCTGTAAATAGGGACACTTGTCATTGAAGCTCAGCTTCCATATGCAAGTATCATCAGCGTGACGATGCACTGAGAAGGTTGAATACAATCAGTGCAGCAACTGTGTAGCATAGAAGATATATTTTACAGATAGATTGTTTGCTGTATAGGGAATCTTGTTTATTGTGGAATTCCACTTTTGAACAGTTCAGCTCCTCCACGGAATAAAAGCAATTTTTCTTTATTTGAATGCACCCTTTTAATGCAAATATATACTTTATGGTATTGTCTTGCTTAGATAAACTCTAACATATTTCTTCCAGTAGTTCCCCTTTTTGACAAAACATATGATGTGCTATCTTCCAGGGTGACTTGTATATAGAAACTGGCATTAAAACATGCACCTAAACATGAGCATACTAGCAGAGGAAGAATCTCTAAATATATATTTTGCATCTTTTTTCCTCTGCAGAACTCAAAGCATTTTCACAGATTGGTAGAATGAGGCACAGAGTAATTAATTGACTTGCCCAAGATTACATAATAAGAAAATGACACAGACAGAAATAAAATCCAGGTCTTCCAATGTCCAATTCAGTGCTCTAAACAGTGGATCAATCTGTCTCCAGAGGCTCTGTTTGGTTCAAATACACACCCAGGTGTATACCTGAATCTAATCTGAGCTAATCTGCCCTCCAAAGTAGAGCTGGCTGGGAAATGTTTTTTCCCTTCCCTCTGAAAAATTTCAACAAAATTGTTTTTTTCTTATTATTTGCAGAAGTTTTTCTTTGATTTTGTTTTATGAGGTAGGGAATCTAAAAATTAAAACTGAAAATGTTTGGTTTACTTGGAACAGCAACCCAAAAGATGTACGTGTGTTTTTCTATGAAAACACAAAACAATTGACCAAAAAATGACATTTCACGCAAACTTCTGTTTTGTCAAAAAGCCATTTTTCATCAAAAATATTTTGATTTTTTCCCTAGCTCTACGGTAAGCCAAGTCAGGAAGTTTTATAGAAACTATTTCTCTTGCAAGATTTCTGGGATTACATGCTTCTGGCTGGATTACAAACATTGAGAGAGGAACCTTTCTTGTAGAAAGAACAGGAGTATAAGCTTTCGTGGACCACAGCCCACTTCTTCGGATGCATAGTCCACGAAAGCTTATGCTCTAATAAATTTGTTAGTCTCTAAGGTGCCACAAGTACTCCTGTTCTTTCTACAAGAAAGGTTCCTCTCTCAATGTTTGTAATCCAGCCAGAAGCATGTAATCCCAGAAATCTTGCAAGAGAAATAGTTTCTATAAAACTTCCTGACTTGGCTTACCGTAGAGCTAGGGAAAAAATC